TAAATTCAACTTTAATTTGCGGACTTCCTGTTGGGTTTTTTTGAAACGCTGCAAGAGGATTTTTAGTCCTGACAAGCTTAATATGCGTACCAATTTTCGTGAGTGAAAAAACCCTTAATGGGGAGGCCATTTTGAAAATTTCAAGGGGGCGCCACTGAGCCATTTTGCGAACTCCGTTTACGAAACCACCAAAATATCAAATTTTTCACGAGGCCTGATGACCATGGAAAGTTTGTTGAGTTTTCAGGCACGTTCAGGCCCTCAAAAGTGGCCGCAAAGTGGCGGATGAAAAATAATAAAAATAATAATCGCTAGGGTTTCAAAAGGGTCCTCGCACAGTTTGTGCTCGGGCCCTAATTACAAAGAAAAATTTGGTTATCAGAAAACATCAGCATTAAACAGGGCCTCTCTTTTATTCCCTTAATCTTAAGAATGAAGTGTCATACATTGCGCAGGAGGTGCGCACTGCGTCCTCTGTGGACCGGGCGCTCTACACTCGCTGTTGTTGCGCACCAGACAGCTGGCCAGCGCTGTGTCTGATCGGACATAAATGCCCTGGAAAAAGGTATCGAAGACGGGGGTACAAACAGTGGTGAGGTACCCCAATCCAAGCGTCCTACAGAGTAGCAGCAGCGGGCTTTAGAGGGAGGTGACGAGTGCACTATGGAAAGGAGCGCAAGCTGGGGTAGAGACACACAACCCAAGAAAAAGGAAATCCCCAGTTTAAAATGTAATGTTGGTGAAAAGAGGGAAATAGGAAGAAATAAATGTCAATGTTGAAATTCTATAGAATTCAGAGGCTGTGAATGTTCAGTTTGTTTTGGCTGTAGGCTATGGGCAACAATAGCCTGTAGTTTAATCATGGTGTTTCTCTTGCTTAACGATTAGAATATTGAATCAAATAAAAAAATGAATGCATGCCATTTATTTTTCTGTCAATTGAAACATGTAAACACGTGGGGAAAAATGTGATCTTTATGCCTTCTTTTGTTGTGCCTATGTCTCCTCCTCACTACAATAACAGCAGTCTGTTGTGCGTAACACTGGTCTCCTGGATTAGCACGTTCTTTTCAAAGGTGTTAATTTCACAATCACCGCAATTTTTGTCAGGTTTGGTAAATCGCAATGCGTGTACTAACTTTACTTGTTTGCATTTTCTCCTCCCAGTATTTTGCACGTTAGGGCAGAAACGCACCATATTGCATATTCATTAAGGCAAACGTACTAAATGGACAATGCATGTTGTTTTGCTCATTTGAAAGACGCAATCCTCACTGCGTGCCATTAGTTGATCAGGTAGCACTTTTTTTGGTGGTGGTATCAACTTTGCACACGTTTTAAGACACGCAAACCTTTAGTAAATCTGGCTCCAAAAGTACTGATAAAAACACACAACAAAACGAATCGTAAATATCACAACATGAATAAAACCCAAAGTATCAAAGCATGCATAAAAGAATGTACAATATATTAATCAGAAAATACACTTCTGCCTTGTTACACGTCCTAAAAAATCCTAACCCGGTGTTGCTACTTCACATTAACTTTAAATCCCCTTTGATGTTTAGGTCAATATGAATGTAGGCTGAAGTCAGAAAATGGCAAGAAAGTCTTCAGAGAGAGATCCAATCAAAGCTTCACAGTCCAAGAGCAACCTCTGATACGACTGACGCCGCTCAGCAGACAAATCCATTGTGAGGTCATAAGAGAAGTGAAACTAGAGTGCTCTGTCAACGAACCCTACACTGTTGAGTTGTACTCAGTACTCAGTACTCAAAACTTTGAAGGTAAGCCTGAATCAAACAAACACCAAAAGGCTAATCTTTTATATTTTATATTCATATTAATAAATACAATTTTTGCAGTCTTAGGCACAGGTAATTCTAGCAGCTACTCGTTTCTCATCCCCATCTGTGAAAAAAC